CGAACTTAGAGCTACTTGGAATAAACGAATGTAATTTGATGTTACAATTTGAAGTCATTCTAGAAAGAAAAAAAAAGGATAATTCAAGTTTTTTTCTTTCTTTTTTTTATTTTTTCTTGGTGCTTAAAAAGTTGATCGATTTGATAGATCCCATTTTGAGATAGGGTAGAGAAAAAAAAAACTGTGTAGATAGATAGATGTTATCAAAATCAAAATGTTAATTCAATAATTTTGATTCATTGTAACATTTGTAAAGTAAATAAATACAACAAATGAAAAATTAAACTAAAAGATTTTTGCTTGGTTTCTTTGCTCTAATCAGTAGCATTTGTCTTTAATTTTGAGTTGCAAAGGCCCAGTGGAGAAGGGCAATGCTTATCATAAAAATGTTTTTAAGAACATTGCTTTTTTCAGCATTTAGTTCGTTAATGTTTTAGATGTGTTCATGTATTTGTATCCCTATCTCACCAGTGTAAGTGGCTTGAATATTATGTTAGTGGTCTCTTAAACCATATTTATCACCATACACTGATTTCATAATCCACAGTTTTTGGTCACAACCAGACAATTGCACATTTACTATCAAGTTTGTAAACCAGTCTGGTGAGGTTTTGTGCAAGATTAATACCAGCTTTGTTAAGAGCTTCATACTGGCTTTCTCACTGGCATATGGAACTACCCCCAATAAGTGATGACATTTATCTTTTGTGTCTCAGTGATGGTGCAGCATTACTCATATTCATTGTCGTAGATAATAATTTACGACTGGCCTTTGTGTCTCAGTGATTATGCAGGACTACACAAATTCAGTGACATAGTGTTTCTAACAGTGCAAAAAGTGATTGAATTGTATTTATCAACAGTCTAATTATTAACTGGTATCTAATGTTAACAAAAAGTAATTAATAATTAGATTATTTTATAGTCTACTAACATTGATAATGATAGGAAGCCAACCATTACAACTGCATTATAAGTAGTTGTGTGATATTTGTTGAAGGCTTGATTTTCCAACAATATTAGTTTATCATTTCACTGTGTGATGTCATATTACTATTGCATGTTCCTTTATTTTTATTTATTGGTCTTCTACTTTCAGTTATTCTTTTTTTTTGTGTAAAACATTCTCTGATGGAAGTTTCTAGCCAAAACATTATTAAATACAAATTTTGTCTAGTATTTTAGGTTTTTAAATGAAATATGTAAAACAAAATAGTACATTAACTGAATTGTACATAGTTTTGAAATATCAGTTCCCCACACAAGGAACGAAGTATAGCAAAACTATTAGAGAAACAACTTCTTCATGCTTTTTAGTTAATAAAAAACACATCTGACAACATTGTATTTTAATGTGTCAGTTTTCAGAAAAACTTTTACTACTAACTTATTAACAGAGAACATTATAAATGAGCAAATGATTTTACTATTAGTAATTTCGGTAATAATGATAAGCTATCACCATGCTATAAAAACTTAGTTCTGATCAAAAAATAAGTGTGGCTTTGATATGTCCTTTATCATTATTTGTATCAAAATCAATTAATCATCCTTTTTGTGTTAATACAAAAATGTTAAGATAATTAATGCTCATGTATTAACTTGTACCATAAAATTTTAACCTTTATAAGTTATTTGTATTTATATTTCAGGCAGTTGAAGCAGCTTGTTGGATTCCTCTTTTGCGAGCTCCACGATGTGTTCTTGCAGGTGATCATCTTCAGCTGCCTCCAACCATCACATCATTAAAGTATGTGAGTGTTGAAATACTGTGGTTTAAAGTTAACTGAAATTAGATCTTGTTAATTATATACTAATATGTTAAAAAAATTGGGAAAACCCCAAGCCTTTTTTTTAAACTTCTGCCAATTAAGGTTCTGCATACTTGTTAATAAAGGCAGGTTGCTAAAACCCCAAGATCCATTTCACTTGATTCAAATATATTTATTTCTTAGGTTTCCAGTCTCCTGAACAGAGGTTTTCTTTGACAGTGTATCTTATAACTATGTTTAATATTGAACTTGAAACATAAAATCTTTAAATTATTTACACAATTTCTTATCTCCTTATCAGTTACAATCTAAATTAATACCTATAAATTTCATTATTTATATATAGAACACCTTCTTTATAGGTGTTATTTGTTTGTGTGTGTGTGTGTGTATATATATATATATATATATATATACACACACACACACA